AAGGGAAATTTACATCTATAAAGGAAATTCCATTTACAATGGTGTCTCCCTCTCTACACCAGGAAGAGAGGGCTGACTAAATCACTAGGGAGTCTCATCAATGGAGAAGGCATCTGCTTAAATCTGCATAATTAAGCTTACCTTTGCTTAAGGTGCTTTTCCTTAAGCACCATCTCATTTTCTTCTGGCCGCACCATTTATTCCAGTTTCAGAGAAGGATGGTATTTCAGCTCTGGAATTTCCTCCTGACCAAGGAACTTTCCAAAAGAAATGGAATTGTCTTAAGATCTTTTGCCTAGGAATCTCATCAAATAACCAGGAAAAATGAACCACCTGAGAAGAGAAGATGCTGGCTGTCACCATCACACCCAAACAGACTTTCCAAGAAAGCTCTGAGCCAGTACCTGGGGGGCTTTATCTGCATAATAAGACAGAACCTTTGTTTCATTGGGCCTCTCACTTTCAGTCCCACACAGCTTCCAAAGGGACTCATTTACAAAATAAAGTCTGCCTCCCACGTCCAGTCTGTAGAGTTCTTGGGTGAAGAGAGTGTTAAAGTCTCAATCAGCTGGTCCTTTTCAAGTCTCATGTTTTGTGTCTGGCTCAGCTGTCCATATGCACGTTAATACATTTTGTATGCCCTTCTCTCCCATGACTCTGCCTTTTGTTAGCTTATTTTCAGCAAACCTTTAGTGGCCGGAGAAGCTTTCCCTTCACCCCTACCTTATATTAAGGAACAGGTCCGCTCTGGGAAAGTGAAGGCTTCCCTTGCAGCTGGGAACCTCTGAATTCTCATGGTGCAGCCCAGGAAAGAAATGCTTACCATCTCTCATCTTAGTTGAAGGTCTTGCTGTTCCTTCTTCAAAAAATAGAATTATTTGGGTCTCCTTTTTTATGCTTGTGTGTATTATCTCTTTACTTGATAATATAATACCTATTCACTCATTCACTTGTTTAATCAACCAATGTTCATTGCAGTTAGCATTCTCGAACCTGCAAACGAAGTGTTGTCGAACTTACAAGGGGGTTTTTGTCTAGGTCCAGTTGCTCCTTGCACAAAGATCCAATTATTGAGACAACTAACATTGCCAATGAAGAAAGGGATTTTTAATACTACAGATGTCTTGAGAGAACTGGAGAAGCTGCCTCAAATCCATCTCTCCAACTAAAGGAGGTCATGGGCTTTTAAAGGAGGGGCCATGTGCCTTGGGGCAGGTCGTGGTGTCACTATCAAGGGGCTAAGTGCTTTGGGGACAGGTGGGGGTGGTGGTTGTGAATCTCATCAAGAATTCTGCCCATGACCTTTTCCTCTTTTACCTTCCTAGTGCCATCATGTTGCGCCCCTTTTTTCCGCTGCTGCCCCACTCTAGCATACAGCTGGTGCCATGAGTTTCGGAGACCTGAAAAGCCCCGCCGGCCTCTAGGTGCTCAACGATTACCTGGTGGACAGGAGCTACAGCGAGGGGTATGTGGCATTACAAGCAGATGTGGCAGTATTTGAAGCAGTCTCTGGCCCGCTGCCTGCCGACTCGTGTCATGCTCTACGTTGGTATAATCACATCAAACCTTATGAAAAGGAAAAGGCCAGCTTGCCAGGAGTGAAGAAGGCTTTGGGCAAGTATATGGCCAGGCTAATGTGGAAGACACTACAGGAAACGGAGCTACAGAGAGTAAAGATGATGACGACATTGATCTCTTTGGAGCTGAGGAGGAGGAGGGAAGCCAAGAAGCAAAGAGACCGAGGGAAGAACGCCTTGCACAGTATGAATCAAAGAGAGCCAAAAACCCTGCACTTGTTGCCAAGTCTTCCATCTTATTAGATGGGAAGCCTTGGGATGATGAGACAGATATGGCAAAATTAGAGGGGTGTGTCAGAAGCTTTCGAGCAGATGGCGTGGTCTGGGGCTCCTCTAAGCTAGTTCCAGTGGGACATGGAATTTAAAAACTTCAAATACAGTGTGTTGTTGAAGATGATAAAGTTGGAACCGACATGCTAGAGGAGCAGATCACTGCTTTTGAGGACTATGTGCAGTCCATGGACGTGGCTGCTTTCAACAAGATCTAAAATCCATCTTGGATCATTGCACTTAAATAAAAGCTTGAAAGATTAAAAAAAAAAAAAAAAAGAATTCTGCCCAAGATCTCAGTTCCTCTGTCTTGCAGAAAATCCACCATTTCTGGGAAACACCTCAAAAGTTCAAGTAGTTAGTTAAGGGAGAGGATCATATAAGGGTCATTGATATTTGTTCGCTGAGGGGGCTGGTCACAAGAGCATCACCTTGAAATAAATCTAGAATGCTCAACGTAGCTAAGCTGGCTCCAGCCCACCTGTTTACGGTCCCCTGACTTCACTTACTATGCCCTGGTCACGCTTGCCTTTCACTTCCTCAAAGACACTTAGTACTTTCTTGCCACTTAGCATTTGCACATGCTGTCCCCTCTGCTGGAACCGCCCTGCCTTCTAGTTTTCACTTGACTGACTTTTTTTTTTTTTTGAGACAGAGTCTCACACTGTTGCCCTGGCTAGAGTGCTGTGGTGTCAGCCTAGCTCACAGCAACCTCAAACTCCTGGGCTCAAGCGATCCTCCTGCCTCAGCCTCTCAAGTAGCTGGGACTACAGACACGCGCCACCATGCCCAGCTAGTTTTTTCTATATATTTTTAGTTGGCTAATTAATTTGTTTCTATTTTTAGTAGAGACGGGGTCTCACTCTTGCTCCGACTGGTTTTGAACTCCCGATCTTGAGCGATCCTTCCTCCTCGGCCTCCCAGAGTGCTAGGATTACAGGCGTGAGCCACCGTGCCCGGCCTTGAATGACTCTTATCACCCTCTGAAGTCAAAGGTGTCCCATTAGTCCTCATCGTGTCCCTCCATGAAAGCCAATATCTCACCATTTCACGTGGGCATCATCTGGCTGTGTCTGCTACTGTCTCCTGTGCCAGAGGAACTCACAGCCACTCCCTGGGACCCTCATCCAGGTTTGAGGACCATCTTTTCTCCTGCAGAACGGTTGGCCCATCTACCATCATTTTCATCACATACAGCTTATGACTCTGGCATGTGTACTGATTTCATGCTGGAAACAAGCTTATAAAGTGACACTGGGTAGGTGCCAATGTGCCATTGCTCAGTGAGGAAGGCCGTCTCTGTGTCACCTGCTGCTTACCTCTACTCTTATTCAGGCTCTGTGATGGGAAGACAACACCTAAAGCTTCTTTTCTTCCCCAAGGGAGTTCCTTAGTTCCATCTAGATATGCGCCAAATATGCTTCTCCCCCTATAACAACCATCCTTGGAACTTGCAGAGCAAGGCCAATGTTGGTTCCCATGCATTTGATCGCTTTACTGTCTCTTTTTCATAACTGCTTAATAGAGCCGCATTCATCAGAAGGACTGGGGGTTCTGGTCAGGGCCCTCTGTGCTGCGGGCTCGACCACAGGCCCAGTGCAAGCCCCGATGCCATGGTGACCAGCACCCCTCTGCTAACATACTCCTCCAGAAATGTGTTTGTTTGCTCATTCAACAAATACTTACTGGCCAGGTGCAGTGGCTCACATCTGTAATCCTAGCACTCTGGGAGGCTGAGGCACAGATATATCTCTTTTTAGTTATCTAGCTAATTCTTTCTACTTTCTTTTCTTTTATTTTTTTGAGACAGAGTGTTGCTTTGTTGCCTAGGCTAGAGTGAGTGCTGTGGCATCAGCCTAGTTCACAGCAACCTCAAACTCCTGGGCTCAAGCAATCCTGCTGCCTCAGCCTCCCAAGTAGCTGGGACTACAGGCATGTGCCACCATGCCCTGCTAATTTTTTCCATGTATATTAGTTGGCCAATTAATTTCTTCTATTTATAGTAGAGACGGGGTCTTGATCTTGCTCAGGCTGGTTTCGAACTCCTGACCTCAAGCAATCCTCCACCTCCGGCCTCCCAGAGTGCTAGGATTAAGCGTGAGCCACGCGCCACCGTGCCCGGCCTCCTCCTACTTTTTTAGTAGAGATGGGGTCTCGCTCTTGCTCAGGCTGGTCTCAAACTCCTGAGCTCAAACGATCTTCCCGCCTTAGCCTCCCAGAGTGCTAGGATTACAGGCATGAGCCATCGTGCCGGACCAGAGCCACTGGCTTTGAAACAAGGGCCTGAGTGAGTTCACCGGGGCAGAGGGTGTAGTTAGAGGACAATAGAGGGCCCAGGACCAAGCCCCAGAGAGTCACAGAGGGGGAAGAGCCAGAAAATGAGGCTGAGGCAGAGT